TTGTTGTTGAACTCTCATTTCTGAAAAAATACTCCGACGGAAGAACCCCACATAAGAATCCTCTGGGCGAATCTGGAAAAAGCCATCACCGTCGTCCTCGTGGTTGGTGAGGCGTCCTGGCTGTCTCTTCTGCGTATATTTCCTCTCGCCTTGGCGCGGGCCCCCCTTCCACTCCTTACGTTGTCCCCATCCTCGCCCCCCTGTTTGTTCCGCGCCCCGCCACCTCCTCCCCTTCCTGTTGCATGAGCGCGCATGTCGATGTTCCTCGGCGCCGTCGCCGCCACGGCCAGCACAGGCGCGTTCTCTACTGGTCACGTCGCGCAGCCGTTGGGACAACCCCGCGGGCCAGGCTGTCGGGACAACCCCGCGAGCCGTTGGCGCGCAAGACCAAGCCGTTGGGACAACCCCGCGGGCTTCGAGCGAGGCGCAGCCGCGCTCAGGCGGAAGGCAGCACGAAGCCCAGCTCTGCCGCGAGCTGCTTCGCCTCCGCCCTGGACAAAACCGCTCTCTTGTCGAACTCCAGGAGCGCCTTCCGCAGGGACGCCGGCGGCCCGCACTCCAGGAACTCTCGCGGCGGCGGCCGCAGGATCAGCATGTTCCGCATGCACGTGGCGCGGGAGAACATGACGTAGAGGTGCAGCCACCACTGCTCGTCCGACATGCCCGTGCGGCCAGCGTCCTCGTCTCTCGCGCAGTCGATGGTGACGCCCTTGCGCAGCGTCTGGCCCTGCGACAGCGTGGAGGTCAGGTAGGACGCGTGCGTCAGGGTGAACCCCGAGCGGCGCACGCTGTGCGCCCCCGAGCTCTGCCATGTGAGCTCCCTTTCGCTGGGCCTGAACATCAGCAAGCTCCGCGCCCGCGCCTCGGCCTGGCCGTCGTCGTCGGCGCCTTCGGCGCCCTGTCGCAGCACCTCGGCGACCTGAGGAGCCCAAAAACTTCCTTGTTGCGTCCAAAATGTGGCCTGGGAGCTGCGTTCTGGCAGCGCGAGAACCCAAAATTGACGACAGTTACAGGTTTTGGATGACCCGCTCGGATTACCAACATGATCTGCGGGCCCCATAGGGAGGGGGCTCCCGCCTGAGACTTCCTCGCAGTTCACTCACAGACGAGGCTCCCGCCTGAGACTTCCTCCATATTCAGGCTTGAGGAGCCCAAAAGTGACGACAGTTACAGGGTTCCGATGACCCGCTCGGATTACCAACATGATCTGCGGGCCCCATAGGGAGGGGGCTCCCGCCTGAGACTTCCTCACAATTCACTCAGAGACGAGGCTCCCGCCTGAGACTTCCTCCAAATTCAGGCTTGACGAGCCCAAAAGTGACGACAGTTACAGGGTTCCGATGACCCGCTCGGATTACCAACATGATCTGCGGGCCCCATAGGGAGGGGGCTCCCGCCTGAGACCTTCCTCAGAATTCACTCACAGACGAGGCTCCCGCCTGAGACTTCCTCCAAATTCAGGCTTGAGGAGCTCAAAAGTGACGACAGTTACAGGTTCCGATGACCCGCTCGGATTACCAACATGATCTGCGGGCCCCATAGGGAGGGAGCTCCCGCCTGAGACTTCCTCCCAATTCACTCACAGACGAGGCTCCCGCCTGAGACTTCCTCCGAATTCAGGCTTGACGAGGCCAAAAGTGACGACAGTTACAGGGTTCCGATGACCCGCTCGGATTACTAACATGATCTGCGGGCCCCATAGGGAGGGGGCTCCCGCCCCAGCCTTCCTCAGAATTCACTCAACGATGATGAGGATGAGGATGATGAGTGGTGGTGAAGATGAGTGGTGAAGAGGAAGATGATTGATTGTGAGTGGTGGTGGCGATGATGATGTTTGAATGGGGATGATGCCGATGCCGATGATGATGATGATGATGATGATGTTCGTGAGCGTGTGAGAGAGTGCGAGTGATGATGATGATGAGTATGTGAGTGACTAAGCATGTGAGAGAGCATCATCGATGATGCTGATGAGGTTGATGATGAGAGAGTGTGAGTGAGTGTGAGTGGGTGTGTGTGTGTGTGTGTTCCTGTTCCTGCGCGGGGTGTCCAGAGAAAACAAAAACCCCACTTTGGATGCGGGGAATAAATGTTGATCTCCCCCACCGGTGCATATTGCTTTTCTGTCAAAGTGTGCCCTCGACGCTCGCACCGTGTTTTTTGACAGGGGAAATCTTGATGGTCAAACTGGGCTCGTGGCCCCCCGGACTACAACAACAACGGCTCCCGCCTGAGACTTCCTCCAAATTTACTCAGGACCCCCCCCCCTCCCGTCTGAGATTTCCTCCCAATGTACTGAAGAACGGCGCTCCCGCTTGAGACTTCCTCACAATTGTGTCCGGGTCAAACTGCATTGCTGCTCCCCTGGGCTACAACAGCAACGGCCCCCGCCTGAGACTTCCTTACAATTTATTGAAGAATCGCGCTCTCGCTTTGGACCTCCTGGCAATTTACCACCGAACCGCGGTTCCCGCCTGAAACTTCCTGACAATGTACCATAGAATCGTATTATAGAATCGCGTTCTCGCTCGAGACTTCCTTGCAACTTACCACCGAACCGCTTCGCTTGATATTTCCTTACAATTTATCCAGATGCCGGTCCTCGACGCTCAGGAATCGCGCTCCCGCTACATATTGCCTCGTGGTTCAAGCAGGACTCACGCTTCAACGACCCGCCCGCTCGACCCGCCCGTCGGGGCCTGCCCGCCCGACCAACCCGTTAATGACTGCATTCGCCGTTCGCTGCCCTTCGCCCGCAGTCGATGCCCCTCGCTGCCCGTACTGGTTCCGCGGTCGCCTTCGCTCGCTGCCCTTCGTGGCCCCGTTGCTGCCCTCAGTGGCCCCGTCGCTGCCTTCTTGTGGCCCCGCATTCTATGCCCTTCGTGGTCCCCGCTCGCGCGCGCCCGTCGTGGCCCCATACGCACGCCCTTCGTAGCCCCGCTGTCGCCCTTGCTGCCCTTCGTGGCCCCTTTGCTGCCCTCAATGGCCCCGCTATCGCCCTTTTGTGGCCCCGTATGCCAATGCCCTTCGTGGCCCCCGCTCGCTCCCGTCGTGGCCCCATATGCATGCCCTTCGTGGCCCCGCTGTCGCCCTTTGTGGCCCCTTCGCTGCCCTTCGTGGCCCCGGTGCTGCCCTCAGCGGCCCCGTCGCTGCCCTCTGTGGCCTCGGATGTTACGCCCTTCGTGGCCTACGTTGGCTTCTCTCATGAATTATTTGGGAATCGCGTTCTCGCTCGAGACTTCCTCGCGATTCATGCAGGACCCACGCTTCAGCAACCCGCTTGCTCGACCTCGTCGCTTGGGCCCGCCTTCCCGACCTGCCCGCTATGGGTCTGGCCACCCGATCTGCCCGTTTGGTTATACCACTTGTTTTCTGCTCCCTGCCCCCTTCCTGTTAATCTGTCTCGTGCTCCATTCTTCTCACTCCCCCTTTCACCCGTCCTCTATTCCCTTGTTTGAGGGGCTGCATTAAATACACGTGGCAAGTAAGGAATATATGCGATCGAAGACGACGAGGGCGGGCACCGAGGGTTTGGAACATAAGTATTGATTGGCACGTGAGAAGATAGGAGCGAACAGTCTTAAACTGATTGTTGTTGTTGCTGCTGTTGTTGAACTCTCACTTATGAAGAATCATTATTGTTGACCCCCCCGTCCGGTGCACATTGTTTTTTCGATTGAAATGCCCCTTCCCGGTGCTCGCACCCGGTTTTTTATAAGGGAAAATCTTGAGGGTCAAACTGAACTGTGTCGTTGCCCCCCCGTTTACAACAGCAACAACAACAGCTCCCGCCTGATCCTTCCTCACAATGTATGGAAGAATCGCGCTCTCGCTTGGGACTTCCTGGCAATGTAACACCGGATCGCGGCTCCCGCTGCATATTGCCTCACAATTTATTTAAGAATCGCGCTCTCGCTCGAGACTTCCTCGAAACTTACCACCGAATCGCGGCTCCCGCCTGGTACTTCCTCGCAATTTATTCAGATGCCGCTCCTCGACACTCAAGAATCGCGCTCCCGCTACATATTGCCTGGCGGTTCAAGCAAAATTTTTGCTTCAACGGCCCGCCCGCTCGACCCGCCCGTCTGGGCCTGCCCGCCCGACCAGCCCGTTAGGGACTGCAGTCGCCGCTCGCTGCCCTTCACCCGCCTTCGATGCCCCACGCCGCCCGTACTGGTTCCGCGGTTGCCTTCGCTCGCTGCCCTTCGTGGCCCCGTTGCTGCCCTCAGTGGCCCCGTCGCTGCCCATTGTGGCCCCGCATTCTATGCCCTTCGTGGCCCCCGCTCGCAGTCGCCCGTCGTGGCCCCATACGCATGCCCTTCGTAGCCCCGCTGTCGCCTTTCGTGGCCCTCTCGCTGCCCTTCGTGGCCCCTTTGCTGCCCTCAGTGGCCCCGTCGCTGCCCTCTGTGGCCCCGTATACGACTGCCCTTCGTGGCCCCGCTCGCTCGCGCCCTTCGTGGTCCCATGCGCATGCGTTTCGTCGCTACGCTGTCGCCGCCCTCCTTGTTGCCCCTCCTTCTTGCCCCTCCCTTCCTCCGATCCCTTCGTCCTCCTTCTCCCCCGTTATCTGCTACCCTTCGTTTTCAAGAGCTTCACCAACCACTCGTGGCAGAGAATGAATATACCCCCCAAAAGGGGGTACGATCGAAAACGAAGAGGGCGGGTATCCAGGGTTTGGGATATGCATATTGAATGACACGCGAGCAGATAAGAGCGAACAGTCTTAACATGATTGTTGTTGTTGTTGTTGTTGTGGTTGTGGTTGTGGTTGTGGTTGTGGCTGTGGCTGTTGTTGTTATTGTTGTTGCTGTTGTTGTTGTTGTTGTTGATGTTGCTGTTGCTGTTGCTGTTGTTGTTGTTGTTGTTGTTGTTGTTGTTGTTGTTGTTGTTGTTGTTGTTGTTGTTGTTATGTTGTTGTTGCTGATGTTGTTGTTTCTTTCTTACCTTTCGACCGGTCCCTCGAAGGCGGGGCCCTGCCCGGAGCGCCGCGCGGCGCAGGCCTCCGCCATGCCGGCCGCGGGCGCGCCCGCGCGCTCGACGAGGCGCGCCAGGGCCCACAGGCCCACGGCCTGCAGGTCCGCGTTGGCCTGGCAGGCCGCGTCGGCATCCCCCTCTCCTCCCCCTCCCCCTCCTCCTCCTCCTCCTCCTCCTCCTCCTCCTCCTATCCTCCTCCTCAGCATCCTCCTCCTCCTCCTCCCTCCTCCTCCCCCTCCCTCCTCCTCCTCCTCCTCCCCCTCCCCCCTCCCTCTTCGCAGCTCCCCTGTGACTCCCCCTCCCCCACGTGGCGGCTCGAGCCGCCCCGCCAGGAGCCCGGCAGGACCACGGCGCACCCTGCACGGCAGGCCCCGTCGGCTCGCGTGGCAGACAAAACCAGGACGTTTGTTTTGTATTCTCCTTCTTCTCAATAATATTCTTATCTATCTGTATGTATCAATTTCTTAGAATGTTTTTATGTATTAATTTGTTTTTGTATAGATTTCTTCTTCTCATTCGTACCATTATCATAATTATTATTATTATTCTTCTCATTGATTCATCATCATTATTATTAGTATTAGTATTACTACGATTACTACTACTATTATTGCTATCGTTCCGATATATATATATATATATATATATATATCCGGCGCACAAGGGCCCTCGCCAGGCCCCGGGGCCGTCAAAACATCGTCCCCGTATTATGTTTGGACTATTTTTGAACATTCCTCCTGTGGAGGGTCAGGCCCGACTCCGCTCCAGGCCCGGAGATCCTGTTCGAGTCCGGGCGTTCTCGCTCCAGTTCAGGCCCCGGGGCCGTCAAAAACAGCTCGGGACGAAGAGCTGGTCCTTGGAACGAAAACAAGAACGACAACAACAACGACAACAACAACCAAAGTGGGATCGAGGCAACAGATCGAGGTTGGTTCCCCAGACATAAATCCGGACGGGCGTGTTTTTTTTCGGCCCCCAGGGGTCCTCGCCAAGCCCCAGGGCCGTCAACGAAACGACTCGGGACGAAAAGCTGGTCCTGGGGAAAGGGTCGGGACTTCCGGGGACGCCGTCCTGGACAAAATCCGGACGTCGCACGTCTGGGTCGGCATCGGGGCGGCTCGGCTCGGATCGAAGGTGCTGGGACCCTGAGCTCCTGGCGACTCCACCTGCTCGAGCCGGGCGTTTCCGCTCAATTTCGGGCCACGGGGCCCTCAAATATCGATCCGGCTCGAGGAATGGCGCAGAGAGATGGGGTCCGGGGCTCCGGTCTTGATTTTTTGCGATGTTGTCATTTGTTTTGCAACGTCGAATCTCAGGGGACGCGCGCGCTTGGCCTTGCCCGCACGCGCGGCACGAACACGGAACCGAAGCCGATGTCCTGGTCGGCGTCTCCAGTTCACTGTTGTGCCATGTACGTGGTGCAATATATGTGGAGCAACCTACGTGGTGCAATCTATGTTCTGCAGTTCATGTGGTGCAGTCTATGTGGTGCAACTCATTTGCCGAGCTTGAAGTTGTCAACTCCACTGCTCGCGCAATCATCCCACCCACCCACCCGCAACTTGGTTTGCAAAACCCATGCGGGACCGAGCACAAATATCGCTCCGGGGTCGTCTTGGAGCCCTCGGGGGCGTCTCAAGAGCGCCCCAAGAAGGCCGGAAAGACGGCCGACGACGACGACGACGACGACGACGACGACGGCGGCGACGACGACGACGACGACGCCGACGACGACGACGACGAGGACGACGACGCCGACGCCGACGACGACGACGAAGACGACGACGACGCCGCCAACGAAGACGACGACGAGGGAGGAGGGAGGACGACGACGGCGACAACGACGACAACGACGACAACGAGGGAGGAGGGAGGACGGCGACGACGCGAACGACGAAGAAGGAGGAAGGACGGCGACGCCGACGACGACAACGACGAGGGAGGAGGGAAGACGACGACGAGACGACGACGACAACGACGACGACGACGGCGACGAAATAGGAGGGACGACGACGAGACGCCGACGACGGACGACGACGACGACGAGGGAGGAGGAGGAAGGACGACCACGGCGACAACGACGACGGAAACGACCACGACGCCAAAGAGGACGACGACGACGAACACGAGGAAAGACACAGGACGACGTAGGCGACGACGACGACGCGGGAGGAGGGAGGACAGCGACGACGACGACGACGACGCCGCAAGAGCGCGCGCGCGCGCTTTTGTTGAAAATCCGTGTTGCGAAACCTTGTGTTTTTGTAGGTTTTTTGGACGCGCGATTTTGAATTCCTTCCGAAACCCATGGGTTTTGAAGGATTTCGGCGTACGCGCGCGACGACGCGCGCGTCTGCACTTCGTCCCATTTTTTGCAAAGGATTCTCGGGACGGCACACGCGCAAGGACGTTCGACAGATTTCGACATGCGCGCGCGACGCCCGTTTGGTAGCATGTTGTGAAAATCTTGACAAACCGCTGGTTGTCTTAAGATTTCGCAAGAGCTCGCGCGTAAGCTTTTCTAGCAAGTCAGTGTTACGAAACCATGTCTGTTTGTATGTTTTGTTGGAAGCTCGATTGCGAAATCCTTCCAGGACCAAAGGTTTTTGAAGGATTTCGGCATGCGCGCGACGACGCGCGCGCGACGACGCGCGCGTGTGCACTTCGTCACATGTTTTGCAAGGGATTCGCGAACAAGTGTTATGTTAGAACAAACACTGTCACCGCAGAGTGTTTTTTTAAAAGGAACCTCAGGGGGGGGAACCGGGTTGGCCTGGGACATTGTGATTTCAAATAGGATGGACATGTGGTCATAATCATATGTGATTTGCATACCCGAAAGGGGTAGCGATAACGCGGGGGTGGGGGGTAGAGTCTGTTCTCTTTTTAGAAAGGAGAACCTGCGTGGTGCAATCTACGTGGTGCCATCTACGCGGTACAATCTATACGGCACAATCCATGTGGTGCAAGTTGTGTGGTGCACTCCGCCTATGTGGTGCAAGCTACGTGGTTCAATATATAGTGCAATTTATGAAGGGGAACTGGGACACACAAATAAATACACACAAATAAACAGATCCCCCATATTTTCCCATGTTTTCTGTTTTTTTGTTTTCCCCCCCACTTCCCATATTTTCTGGGAATCGCAGATTAGTTGTGTCTGTGTGTTTTTTTCCCCTCCTGAATTTGGGTGGTGCAATCTGTGACGGGCGGCGAGGAAGGGGGGGACGCGGCGGCGACAGCGACAGCATAGCCGTCAGGCCGACCGTCAAGCACAGACGACGGGCGGCGACGAGGCGGCGACGAGGCGGCGACGGCGACAACACACTCCAGATTTCGTAATAAAGGGAGGGGGGTCTCATTTCGGGGGGGGGTCTCTTCCAGGCTATCTTGGAGGGCCTGGGGGGGTCTGGGGGCTATGTTTTGGAGGGTTCCCCCACGGGGGGGGTCTGAAATGGCTTGTCTGGGAGGGTCCAGACCCCCTCCCTTTTATTACGAAATCTGGAGTAGCCGCCAGACCGACCGCCAGGCCCGGTCCCTCAGAAAACGAATAAGACCCCCTGAGGGCAAGCGCCGTTCGGGGAATGTAGATCGCAAAACAACAGTCGACTTACTGTTTTTCGGGGCACTGTTCATAATCATCTGTGCATGCACATGTTTTGGGCTTCGGTCCAGGAACTTACCAGCAGGCGTCGCTGCATGGGCCGACAACAGCATCTTGCTCTTGCTCGGGCTGAAAGGCGCACGCTGCCACGCCGCTGCGTCGGCTGAAAGAACACTTGTCGGCTCGCCGGATCCAGCCCTGTCCATGACGAAGCGGTGCGCTTGGGTCGGGCGCCGCTCACATGCGCTGGAAGGCGAAGTGGTCAATCCATTTGCCGCACCACTTGCCCTTCGGGGCGCCGGTGCGCTCAATGTCGCAGTCGTTGAACTTGTCGACCTGCTCGAAGCCGTGCTTTGCGAGGTAGGCGAAGAACTTCTTGTAATCCATGCAGTGAGAGTGGCAGTCCTTGGCCCCCACTGGCATGTCTCCCTCGATGAGCAGCAGCTTGATCTGCCCGCTCTCGATGACGGGGCCCAGCTGGTCCATCATATCCTGGGCGCAGCCCTCGCAGTCGATGAGCAACGTGTCCACCTTCTTGCCGAGGGCAGCCTCCACCTCGTGAAGGTGGTAGCCTGGCACCACAACGCCGCCCTTCTGCAGCGCCCTGTTGGAGTAGCCACGCTTCACGTTCAGCTTGGCTGCCATGCGCAAGTCCACGGAGCTCACCGCGCCGCGGAGCAAATGGGCGTTGCACTCGTGCGACTTCAGGTTCGCCTCAAGGACGTCCCACACGTTCAGGTCGGGCTCCACGACCACCACGTTGCCGCTGTTGTTGAGCTTGCGGGCGATCTCGCAGCTGGTGGTGCCGAAGCGTGCGCCGAACTCCATGACAACGGCGTCTGGAGGCACCCAGTCGCGCACGAGGGCGTGCTCGGGGAACTCGGTCTCGCAGTGCAGGCCCTCCCCCTTCCAGCTGTCGCAGCCCTCGGAGACGGTCTGAGCCTGGCCAGCGAACCTGTGGGAGGGGCTGAACAGCTCGTCCTTGAGAAGCTGCTGGACCTTGGCCGTGCTCTTGCGGGCACGCTCCTTGTCTCCGTGGCCGTGCCCGCGGCCCCGGACCTGGCTGTGGCCGTGGCCCTCGGCGCCGTGTCCGTGGCCGTGGACCTGGCCGTGGCCGTGGCCGGAGCCGTGGGCGTGCGCCACGTGAGACTTCTTGGGCTCGGTCTTGCCGTGCCCCTCCGTCTGCAGGGCCAGCGCCGACAGCGGCGCCCACGGGGCGACCAGCAGGGCCAGCGCGCGGGGCACGGTGGGCATGGCCTCGGAGGATGCAGGAGCGGTGGTGCAGAGGTGCGCGTTAAGAAGTGCCAAGGATATAGAGCGAGTGTGGTGGTTGGACCTGGACCCCTGGAGCCAGAGACGGCGGACGTACAGGAAGGGAACGGCGGAGCTGGAGGGGAGGAGGGGCGGAGCGGGAGGGAGAGGCACGATCGGCTGGTGGCGCGCAGGCCCTGCTCCTGCCGATCGCCACCACGAGTCGCGCACCGAGCTCTGACAGCGAGGCGCGTGCGG